CAGGGGGGGGGGCAGGAACCCCCGTCACGACGTGATCGCCGCTTTTGTGCGCCAAGCGTCTTGTCGTTTCTGTATTTGATTTTTATACGCGGATTCAGAGTTGGTTCGTGTCTCCTGTGGTTTTTGTGCGCGGAATTGAAATGAAGATTCGGGCTGCGACTCTTTAAACACGTTTCGACGTTTTCTGTGTCGTGAACGATATACCTCGTTCAGATAAACTTAATATTGCGATGTGTCTTGCTTGCTTCGTAGTGTCTACTAAAGCACGTGCGCATCGTAGAACATATTTCGTGATAAAGAACGAGAATCTAATGGAACGTTGATAAAAAAAATTAAGACTTTACATCGTTTGCATAAAAATATTTAAGTACCTCGTCTAGGTTATTGTCTGCCGGAAACTTCAAGTGTTTTTGTCGACGACTTCCGGTTAAAGAGTGTCTCATGATGAAGTGAACACCCTGTATATAAATACGTTGTTAGACGGGAGACGGTATCGTCTCTCATTAGGAGCGTTACAGCTGCCTTGAGGCCAGTGTATTAATGCGTCACAAAACATCACAGCACCGCTGCTGCTTATTATGAATCCAATCATGGCGTGTGCTCTATTGACCATTGTATAGTTCTGACGTGTATTGTTGTAAGGGTTGCAGCTCGTAAGGAGACACGTGATTGATTGTAGCACAGCGTTGTGATAATGAACGGGTAAGGTGAAGCTGAAGGGTTGCATACAGTGCAGGCGTGGAGTCAGGTGCGTTGTGACACAGGGTGCATAGAATTGTACTTCTTCGTTCGTTGTATCTCTGAAATAAGTTGAAGAATGAACCAGAGGAAAGGGAAGGTCACGGAAGGAATCAGGTAGGAGTAGTAGCGACCCTCGACGCGAACTTGTAGATTATCGCCAAGCTCACGCGTCACCCTGAAGGAGACGTCGAACGCTTCGTGTTCGGCCAGCACAGTATTTCAAATGCCCGAAAAGTACTTTAAAACGGGCATCGGCGTTCTAAACTCTGAACCCTATGACTCGTTCAGCATTTTCTCGTCATTCGACGAGAAATTCGTGAATCAAAAAGTTGAATACGCCTCTGGTCGATGGATGATAAGCGAGAGCAAGGAAGGCCGATTACCTCGCGCACTACACGGTGGTCTAGCGGTTAGAAGGCTGGCCTTGTAATCCTGGGGTCTCGGGTTCGAATTTGTAACTTGTGTTGGGCAAGGCCGTGGTCTAGGCAACACGGAGTTTTCCTCCGTGGCATCCCAACAATTACTCCATTCACACACAGAAGAAGGCAATGGCAAACCACTTCTGGATCAGGTCCCAGTCCGAGAAAAGGATGAAAGGATCCTGTTCATAATATGTCACCAACCTCCTGTAAAGGAGACGGCCTAATAAAGAAGAAGAAGGTATGGAAATACTAAAATAGATGAGGGTAATCAAATTTTTAAGGATGGCAAGGTTTGAGCTGGATTCTTTTTGTGCTGCTGCAGTGGTGGAGTTACACGGGTTAATTATGATGTAAGATCTTGAGGACAGGTTATTGATGCTATCTTTTCATATGTTTGCATATTCAAAGGGCAAGGATTTATATGTAAATATAGTTTATGGCTATGTGGAAATTGTGAAATTTTGTGTCAAAAATGTTAGTGCTTTATATTTGAACAAGATTAACTAAAACTTCATTGTTGTGATCTTTATAACAAAAGGAAGGAGAGGTATTTAGGCTTCTGAAACGGATATCCAGATATAAACACTGACAAGTTATTCCTCGTTGTTATAGATGAACCAGGTATGGGTAAGCTGTAGAGGAGAGAGCCCAGCTGATAGAGAGAACATAGGCCCTATCAGCTATATACCTAATCAAGGATTTCCTGGTTACTATTATCCTTACAAAAATGTAGATGGATATCTGAGTCCTCTTATTGCAGTACATCTGGCAAGGCCACAATGTGAGTCATTTTCATAATATTTCACTCTTTTCTCTTTCTACAAATTTATTTACCTACTCACCTAATTAGTTACTTTAGTATTATAATTAACATGAAAAGTCTATGCATCTTGCAAGTTGTTTACAAGGAACAAATTAAAATTTGGTTTGTCTGTAGCCATTTCTGGAAATTCCATTTTGAGGAGGAGGTGATTAAAGAAGTCATTGAACAAAACTAAATTATGATACAAGTATTGATATTAAAAATAAACTGCTACTGAAACAAATTTTTATTCTAGTATCACTAAACTTTTTGTATAAATAAATTTGGCCTGACTGGTGTTTGGAAATAAATGGATCTGTTCTCATTTCAATAATGGAACATTCAATTTTCTGCCTCAATGGAATTGTTCCTTGTAATAGAACTATGGTCCCAGTAAGGAACAGAAAGGAAAAGAAAAATGTTTGAGATTCTTGTATATCATTTGGCAGACATAGGAGCCAGCAGATAGAAAACAATTTGTGGTGTATGGAGAGACATGTTAATTCAGCTTTTTCCATAACCATAAAGTGTCATTATGAGTCGCCATACATTTCTGTGTTTATGACTTCTACTGGAAGAAACACATTAAACATCACTATACCATCATAATTTTATTTATATATTGGAAGGAACAGTCCCGCGCCGTAGCCGCGCGGTCTGAGGCGTTGACAATGCGTGAGCTCTGCAGTTGGCTGCCGAGACAACCCCAGAGCGTGACAAGCGACACTTCGCTCTCGGATTCTTTTTTATTCTGTTCTTTTGTCTTTATTTATTTATTTCGCCTTCAATTCTTTGCTTATGCTTTCCGCTTTCGATGTTTCCAAATTTGTCTTCCGGTTGTCCAGTCATGCTTTTGAAGTTTTCGTTTTGCAGTGAGCTCCGTTGAATATCTGCTCGCTCATTTGTCCGCTGCTTCGAGGTTTATCGCCGCCCATTTATTATGTCTGTCGTCCGACCTGAGCGTCGGATGACGTCTCTTGAAAACGAAGGGCAGAATGTTGACAGAAATAAACTTTCCTCGATCTGAGCGTCTGTTAATGCCGTGTACCCTCGTGGGTTACACGTGAAACGCCACTGCTGAGTGGATTTTCTGCTGCGGGCAGTCGCTCGCGGTGACGTCCACAATCCGTTGTCAGAGCAGCCGGATCCATTGTGCGCGAAACAGAGCCGTGACTTGGCTTATTTCGAAGTTCCCGATCGAACGTGCGTATTATCCACCTCAATTTGTCCTCTACCCTGAGGGTGGAGATGGCATGCTTCTCCGTCGGAATCCATCTACGAGTCCACACGGATTAAGAACCCAGAAGATCAAGATCTACGTTTTCACCACGTTAAGAAGATTATTTGGAGAAGTTGCCGGAGGATGGAGAAAAATACAAAGGGATGAGCATCAGATGCCTGTTGTTAACGTCGTCACAAAATTATGGAGCGGGAAGGACACGCAGCTGGCGTGAGGGTGGGGAGGGGCGTGCGAACGTCTGAGTTGGAAAGCTCAAAAGAGCTCAATAGGCTACTGTTTGCGAAACCCAACATCATAAGCGAGGATAATATTAAAGTGGATCTTAGAAAAAATGTGTACGTACTTACAATCACGAAATTGAACCACCGATCAAAAGGCGATTACGTCTGCTGCCGTCCTGACTGAGATTTTCTTTGTTTTCCTCAGGTGTATTAGGCGAGTGTCAGGGCTACGACCGCTTCCTTTCATATCCCTCCCAGTTCATTACTTATCCCGTCGTTCGATGTCAAAGTCGGTAGATGACCCACCAATACATTGAAGTCGAACTGGTAAGGAGAGACAGCTTGCCGTCGGAGAGAATTCTCGTGTTTTCCTCTGACTGCCCCCCCCCGGGCCCCCCCACACCCCCAGTAATTCTTGCCACGCTTTGTTTGTTCTCTCACATTTCCCAGCATCCCCCTCGGCTTGCCTGCGTCTCGGGCAAATATGAAAGCGCTTCACGAGAGCCACTGAACACTGTACACCTCTGCGCGTTCCATGCTTGAGGCTTGTCGTCTGGGCAGTTTCCTTCCAGATCCGTAGGGAAGCGATGTCGATCCTTGCGCTTCGAGAGTCATTTTCAGCAGAGAATAAAAAAAAATACGTCTGTAATGACGAGAGACAAATATAGTTTTAAAATCAGTTTGAAAGGGGGAGATTTAATTTGATTTGTTGTCTGCTGAATATCGGAATGGAAAAGTTTTCTTGTCGAATCAATTATCGTCACAAACTCGGTTATAACTGCCGCAGAGACAGACTCTCCGCCCTCGGTTCATAGGCGATGTGCTCTGATTGCTTCAGTGCGTCAGTGATTCAACTTTTTTGAACGTGGCTGGGCTGAGTCTTAGCCGGTGGGTAGAAACGGACGAATCCTCGAGCTGCTGGAAGGAACTGCCCTTGCCTCGCGTTGGACGCCGAAGAAACTTCGCACGGCGGATCTCGAAACGCGTTCACTAAGTCACAATCGCGCATTATGGGTTACTGTAGTGCGAAGAGGCGCCACAAGATGGAAGCCTGTTCTAGGAATAAGCTGTATTTCAATTGTACATTAATTGTCATTACAAGAATTGTTTGCTTCGCGTATATAAAAGTTCTTAAATAACTTAACGATGACTTTTTAAGTCTGTAGATGCTGTTTCTTGAAATATGGGACTGTTACGATTAAAAATAAACAATTTTTGTTCACTGTGTTGCCTGCAGGTACGTAGAAGCATGAAGACAGTTAAACTAGCGTTAATTTTTTAAAAAATTCTCTTTGTTAGTTTTAAAGGGATCTGAGCGCGGAAGGGCTAAGGCAGTCTTCGTACAGAGGAGAGCGAAGGGCGTACGGGCACGCGGTTTCTTTGGCGACGAGAGCAATTGTCGCTGGTGGACGTCAGACCGCAGTTAGTGCTCCGATAGCTGCTCGACGCTTCGCCGTGGCAGGGAAGCCATTCGGCCCAAGATCACGTCTCTGTGTTTTACACGTGGCCTACAATTTACATACAAACAGCGTGCGGCTTATTGCGTCTGCCAGCGCCTTTACCGACCTCTAGAGCCTGACTTTCGACCCGGCCGACCACCCCTGTTCATCCATCTTTCTCGCCTTTGTGTGCGCCTCGTGCCTAGCTTTATTCAATGGCCACCCCTGTAATGCGATTTCCGTACTCGCGCCGTGTCGTGCCGTTTGCCTGCCTAGTAAGGCGTACTCTTAGCAGTCTGTGTTTTTGTCATACACACCGCGGGTTGCCTATGTACAGGTTATAAATCACATTTTCCCTCCTTTTGTGGTTTCTTGCAATTACAGCTCGTTTTACGTGTCTTCAGTCCTAATGTTATGCTTACCAGTTCGTTAACTTTCGGTAAACAAACAAACAAACAAAGCAAGAAGCAAGAGAAACATCGGAACATCCTAGTGACGCCTTCGCCTCGTTCTAAGCAGACTGTTCTCTGAATTACACGGCTCTAAGCTTTCCTAACGCGACTTTCTGCTGGATAATATTAAAGTGAAACGTGATCTGGATACATCTAGGTGAGGACAGCGTCCAGCGATGGACTGTTGTTAACTCGGCAATGAACATTTACTTTTCTGACCGTCTGTCAGCTTGTCAATAAGCCAGGTGACGCTTATAAATCGCAAAGCCCTTCGTCAGAAGAGATCCGACCCCCGACCCCCTCGCCCCACTCGAGCTTGCTGTTCCATTTGCATATCTCGTGCTCCCATTTTTTTGTCGTTGTGGAGTGACGTGCACGCATAGTTGCCTGCCTCGCAGGATGATTGCTGCAATCAGCCCAGAACAACAGAATTATGGAAAAAGTGGCTAGCTCTTGCAGGAAAAGTCACCGAGGCAAACATAAGGCGGTCACTAACCTCGCCCTAATTACGTCGTTTGACATCGATACGAATTTTTGGTTAAATTCAGGGCTAGTCCTGATGACGGGGGCAGTAAGATCATTTGAAACGTCCATTCTCGCCGTGAGAACCTGAAATCTCTCCTGACTTAGTCGGAAAACTTCGTGGCAAAAGACAACTTGATAGACAGCAGTGGGTTTGGAAGGGTGATGTGGCATTGATTGGATTGAGCTGCCCCAGCACGGGTTTCGTACGGGTTGTCTAGGGCTGGCTCGAATAAGAATAATCGAACGTGAAATAGAACATTTCGGTCGCTCTCTCTCTCTCTCGAGCCATTCTTTCTTAGCAAAGGAAAAGCTGTTTGTAGTTGCGCTCGTCCTATGCTCGTGACGTAGTCGTACTCTGCGGGGAAAATCCCACTGAAAATTTTTTCCAATATCTGCCCACTCACAAAAACAGTCCGAGGAAAAACACGTAAGAAACTCGGCATACGATGTCCTTGTGCCGTTGGTTTCTCAGCCGCCAAAACATTCTCAGATATTATCAAGTCGTCGTTAAACAATTCATTTAAATATTACTGGCGTTTGTGCATTAACAGGAACGCGTATTAATGATACGATATTCAGGGCAGATTGTGAGTAGACTGGACTGAAATAGGAGGAAGTCGGTTTGGGTGGGGCACGGGTGTCATTTTCGAAGAAAACAAATTATCAGTGGGCGGGCCGGGAGGTATTCCAAAATTTCGGCCAGTGCAGACCTCTATAGCAGGGGTGGCCAACCCAAATGATCTTTCGGGCCACTTTGGAAATGCATCATAACTCCGCGGGCCACATATAAAATTATATGGATGCACAAATAATGTATTTTTTTAATACATTGGTTTTCACTACTTTGGCCATTATAAAATAAATATATTTTGTAAAAGTGTGATGAATCTCGCGGGCCGGAAAAATGTTCAAGGCGGGCCACATGCGGGCCGCGGGCTGGTCACCCCTGCTCTATAGTTTGGTGAACGCGGAGAAGCCTCTGCTTAAGACCGTCTTGTACGCCGTTCCTCCGCGACCACTTCTCCGACAGCTCTGTAGTCCAGGTAGTCTAAACGACCTCGTGCAGGCGGTTTCAATAAATCTCGCCAGTTTACTGTAACAAGGTGACGCGCGTGGAATCAGCCTATCAGACGAGCGTAGTTTGTTCAGAGCGAAGGTAGAACTCGACAGGTGGAGTCTGTCTGATCCAGGGGTCAAAGTCTGGACCTCTTTATTACAGAGCAGCAACTGCGACCTCTTCGCGGCCAAAGTGTGTGACTCTTGTCGCTGAACAACGGTTCCTGAACTGTTCATATGATGAGGTATTTGAGGTTTTCGAGGCTGTGAGGATGATGTTATTCTGGGAGGGCTGAGGCGGCGCTGCTGGGAAGCAGAAGGAGAGAAGATTTCTCTTCCAGAAACCAAAGAGATAATCATCATCATCATCATCATTTCAAATGTTTTGTTCCATTTCCGTAAATGCTAACGAGCGCTGCTGGGATAATTCGTTCTTTATGCTCAGTACGCCCGGAAGCGTTAGCTGTCTCGTGATGTCTCTGGGTTATCCCAACGGGACGACATATTCAGGCTAACAAACACTAGAACTGAAAAAAAAATAATTAATTCAAAAAAGCATTGCGTTCATTATACGAGCAGGGGACGTGGCGTGATGCTTGCTCGTAATTACTGTAGATTTCAGATCAGCTGGACAGGCGAAGTATCACACAGCAGTGGTTCTTGGGGTTTCTGAAAGAATGCACAGGTTATTTGCAATGTGGCGCACAAATTAACACCTGAATTATCTGCGTCTTTAAAACACGCGAAGTGTTTACTGTGCAGGTTGATTCAGAAATTCTTCTGTACTGAGATACAGTCTCTGAAAAAAAAGGGCAACGTGAAAGGAATTTGTGGATGAAGTAGAACGGACCTCAGACGTAAAATGCCCTCACTCTGAGCACCGCGTGTTAAAGGAATATTAAGGAAGTTTGGATAAAATCAGTTCGTTTTCAACCTCGTCACAAGGGCAATGGAGCAATTGTAGTAACGCTAACCTGTGTAGTTGGTCCGGCGATCGAGGTGGCCGGTCAGCACTACTATCTGGCCATACGCTTCGTCCAGAGTTTGCCTGACTTAAGACTTTCTGCAGTCCACGTTTTTATAATCGCTATTAGGCCGTGATGAAACATGCGAGACGCTTCGAGGCCTTGGTTCAGTTTCTTAAAATAAAATAATACTTTTTTTCGAAATACTGGACGCAGCGGGGGGAACATCGGAGCCTCTGGCCCTGTAGGAGGTCGAACCACGGCCATTCATTCTTGCGGACGTAACCGTATCGCAGGTCTGCGTCGATTGCAGAAGAGAAATAATTTTCTCGCTGGTTAATAGACTGACGAATCACAAGACTGTCCTGAAGCCCTTGCCCTCTTCCGTCTGAGACTCGCGTTCTGACTTCGAAGTGTCCGACTCCCGCCAAGTCGCAGTATTAAAATGTTGTAACCGGTTTTTGGTGCTCGAACTGACTGACACCGGGACAGGTTTTCCTCTTTCCAGTCATCGTGTGAGACTCACAGCGGCGCGGTGTTGGTAGGTCCGGGTCTCTGACGACGCTTGTCCGAGCAGATCACGTCCACACTTGCACTTGGTCGTGCCTCTTCGAGTCTCGGACGGTGCTACAGGGTGTTCTGACTGAGGCTTCACCGTTACCCGGTCGCCATGGAAAGGCGTATATAACCTGTGTAAGAGATACGACGTCGTTAAGTACGCGATTAAGTAGAACATTCGCGAAGTTCTCGATTAACCGTGCAGTTACACAGCTGAGGTCGGCGCAGTGCCGCCACGTGATTATTCAGACGCTCCCTCGAGAGCAGGTTCAAGTGATG